TAAAATAAGAGAAGTATAATATCGTAAATTTTAAGAGGCGAGTGTTATAATTAAGTCAAATTCGAACCATTTTAAAAAGCCAAATTCAAAGAAAAGTGTATGAAATTATCCCCTTTTTCATTCATGTTAGTTCTAAATTTTATGCATTTATCTTAGAGAATAACATAATTTTAGTGAAAGCAAACTTTAAGCTAATCCTTGCACCAATGAGTAAACCTTTATTTTATTTATCTACTATAAAATATATATATTCCTTCATTTTTTTCCTTTTTTCTTGTTAAATCTATTATTTTATTTTTTATTATCATATCATAACTCTATAAAAGAACGCATTCAAATGGATACTAAATTCATATTTTTTTTTCAATTATAACAACTCTAACATAAAAAAATAGGTATATTAGATGGTGCTAAAAGATTTTTTTTTGTTGTTGATAAAATCAATATCCCATGAATTTAACTCAAAATTACAAATATAAGTATTTGAATTTGTAATATAATTTATTTGGATTTGAAGATCGAAAAAATCATTAAAAACATTAATAATATTATAATTTTATTTAAGAAAACAAAACAATATTAAAAGCATTTCATAAATTTAATATTTTTTTATACTGCGCATAGCGCGACTTAGTTTCCTAGTATTTATATAAAAGAGAACCCTAGGCCCGCCTATGTGGCGCCATCACAAATCAGAATTCCCTTTTAATTTATTTATTTCCAAAACTAGCCTTCCCCTTTCATGAAAAATTGTGACTTCTATGAAAAATTGTGACTTTTATGAAGAGTTGCGACTTTTATGAAAAATTATGACTTTTATGAAAGGTTGTGACCTTTCCGAAAAATTGTAACTTTTCCAAAGAGTTATGACCTTTTCGATAAGGCACAATAAGAATTTGTTCACACTACTCTTTGTTGTCTATAAATGGAGAAATTTTCTGCCACAATTATTTGTAGGTTTTTTTCCACTCTAGGGTAGTCGAATTCAAATACATTAATTAAGCTTTTTATGAAGTTTGTTTCATTCCTCAAAGTTTTCTTCATCCTCTTTCATGGAGCTTAATCTTTACTATAAGTCATAGGGATTCATGTAAGTATGACAATTTCTTTTTGCTATTTTGGTGACTTTTTTTTAACTCTGTTAAAAATTTCAGCAAGGATGGTTGAAAATTGATCTTCTCTTTTGTCTCTTTCTACATGTTTCTTCATATAAACAAAGAAATTTGATTTCAATTACAAAGCGACATTATTACTCTTGCACCTCTCAATCCACAACTCATAACGCTGCTGAAATGATTGAATTCATTACATTTGGTTCTTTAGTAAACCAAACTTTTATTTCTGTCACTATTATTTGTAGGTTTTTTTTTGCTATAGGGGAGTTGAATTCAAATACATTAATTAAGCTTCTTATGAAGTGTTTTTCATTCCTCAAAGTTTTCTTCCTCCTATTTCATGAAACTTAATCTTTTACTGTAAGTCATACTGATTCATGTATCTATTGCAATAATTTTTTGTTGTTTTTGTGACTTTTTTTGAACACGGTTAAACAGTGAGGACGTTTGAAAATTTATTTTCTCTTTTGTCCCTTTTTACAGGTTTCTTCATATACTTTTTGGGAAAATTGCTTGTGGGTTGTGCTATATTTTATAGCACACAACAACAAATATGTGATAACTAATACGAAATCAATGATGAAGTTTGTTAAAAGAACCAAAAGGATTGCTCTCTTGCTTGCCACAATTAGTATATTATTTTGATTGTTTTTTCTAAGGTAGAAACATTTTATATGTCATTGCACTCTTCCTAGAATATTAGTATAGAGACAATTAGTACACTTCTTTTAACACAAGTTAACTAATTAGTCATATTTCTTCGTCTCTTATTTTTGTGCATAATAAGAGATCAAGTTTTCTTGAACCTAACAAATGTCCAAAATACACTATAACAAAAATATTTTTTATCGGCAGTAAATATGCACATTAACGAAGAGTGCTAGAGCCTTTACCGACATTAATTAATTCTCATTAGATTCAATGTTGCTATAGACTTTAGGGACATTTATAGAGAGTACCAATTGCCTCTGAAAATACATATTTAGCGACAATTAAACTATTAATTTTCGTTAAAGATCATTTTTGCTTTAGTGATAACTCTTTCTTTTGATATAGTTTTTTGTTTTTTTTAATAAAGAAGTAATAACTCTTTCTTTTGAATTCTTTCAATTAAATTTGTGAACTCTAAACTTGGATACAACTTTTGAAAAATATGTTAAGCAACCTGCCTTTTTCTTCTTGATTGTTAGGAAAGTAAGGTCGTCTTTATTATTATTTGTGGATATTTGTGAGTTCAAGTGCTCACAAAATCATGCTCTGAGATTTTAATATGTTATGTGTCAAATTAAAATTTTGGTTTAGAATATCCAGTTGTGAACAGTTCCATTCAGATGTCACCTACTACTTGGTTAATAATTGCATTAATTCTTTGTAACTGCATACTATAACCATAACAATAAATATGGTTCAATTCAAAATAAGTTGGGGCCGGTGATATGAAACCTAAGCAATAGTAATGACTATTCTAAGACAATGAGGAAAAATATTTGTGATGCTAACAATTTTAGGGTCATTTTAAACATTTACATGATACGGTATACTATAATAAAAGAGAGATTGATGGAGGTTCATAAGAAAAGAGCCGAAGGTCCTTTATTTGAATTTCATTAATTATGGCTTTTTTGTCTCTTCTTTAACTCTGATGTTGTTCTGTATAACTTTTTGGAATTTAGAAAATTTGATTACTTTTGACCAACTATTTTCATGGAGATTTTCTTATACTTTTTTTTATACTTCAAAATCTCTCTATGACTCATAATTTTTGTATAACAAAGATGAAAATTTTAAAAAATATAGCACTTTAAGATTTCGGAGGTCTGCTTTACCTTAAGACAAACTGTTCTTGAAAATGTAGTGTATGTATCGAAAATACAAATATTACTGAATGATCATATCTAAGCTTAGTAAAATAGTTCAATCCCGTGCGAAGCACGGGTAATTTACCTAGTAAACATAATAAATCTGAAAAAGTATTACTACATATATACAAAAAGGCTTATTATACAATCATAAAATAGAACTCAATAATTACTTTTTATACATATGCTTTAACTTCTTCAGATCCATCCGGTTCCACTAAGCTAGGACAATGTCTTCATGTGATTTTGACTGATCACTGGTAGAATCAATTACTTTTGCTTTCCTCTTCTTTGTTGAACTAGATTCGTCTTTTGTATTTGACTTTGTGATAATTTCATCCATTCTAATTGGGTCATTTTCAAACTTATATCTGAAAAATTGAAAAAAAAAATCGATTTAGATAGGTTTTGGCAGTACCTGAAACGTTTGAAGTCGCAATTGAGAGCGTAGTGGTGAAGATTTGAAATTCAAACTAATTTTGTGGAGAGAATTTAGGAGAAATTGAAGGGTATGGGAGAGAGGAAGGAGATGAAGTGAATTGTATAAAAGGAATAACTTCCGTTATTTACTTATACAAATTCGTGGGATCCGTCAATAGCAAGATATGTGAAACTGTAGCTATTCAAAGGAAATAAATGAAACAATAGTTGTATTATTTATTTTAAATTAATAGTTTGTCATTATGCACAATTTTCCCTTATTTCAACCCAATTTTTTTTTCTCATTCGGTGTGTTGGTACCTGCATTGGAGACCGACCAATTTAGATTTGTGACGTGTAGGAAATTGATCAATTTGAATTTGTGTTGTATAGAATTCTATTTGAGGAGAAACGTTTCCGATCATTCGAATTATATACTATACAACTTAAAGCATATTCCGATCTTATGCCTTGCAAATATACAATCTAAACTTATGCCTTGCGAATTATATGCTACACAACTTATGAAAAAATCTCAAACACCATACAATCAAGAGTCTCCAGAAGACAAGTACTAGTGATGCAAAATGTTCCAATCTGTCCCCTGAAAATTGAATAGGAAATTTTATGCCAATAAAATATTTGAAGAGAATGAGTAGTTTTCTTATTCAAGAACCACACTACTTAACAACTTCCATTAAACTATGTAATGAAGAGTACTACATTCCAGGATTAAGTGATAAACGTGCAAAACAAACGAAACGTTTGAATAATTTGCTTGAACATATTTCTACCTAAGTTTTAACACTTTTCTGGTACGAGAATGTTATATTTATATCGAAATAAATGACAACAAAGAATATTGTATAATCAATATTTACTTTTCGATTATGTAGCTGACCTTCCTGGATTTATTATTTTGCGCACAATGAGTTGTTAGTTTAAGGATGATTTGAATTTCAAATTTTTATTAGGTTTTGTTTAGATATATTATTAGCTATTTTGAATTTCCAATTATATATGCAGATTTTTGTTTTAACTTGGCTACTAAAAGACGACCTATGCTTAATAAAAATATAAAGAGACATTACTTTAAACCTTTTTGCTTCACATCTTTTAAAAACAACAAATAGTTTCACTTCATAATCGTTGGTAAACAAACAAACAAATAAATAGTTTCACTGCATAATCGTTGGTAAACAAACAAACATAATAGTTTCACTTCATAATCGTTAGTAGCAATTGTGTCATGAGAAAAAAGGAGTGGAAAAAAAGTATTTCTAACAACTCTAAATGAAAATTTACCTAACATAATTGCCTGCCGCTCATGGATTTTGACTTGATTTACCACAGAGACGTTCTAGCATGACCTTGCAACTAGTAACCTATAAGGAAAAAAACATAAATTTTCATGAATAAATCATATCTTACAAGTAATATAGATATACCTTACTTGAATAATTAGAAGAGCAACAACAATCTGGTTCAAGTATTATAGCACAGATGCAATTGACTAATAATTTTGCATTTTTTCATGTCAAAATAATTGCAAGTGACTCAGACACCGAAGGAGAAACAAAAACTTACGCAAGTCCTGAATTATGCTTCAATCTACTTTAATTTTTGGAATGTGGGAAATGTTGGACCACTGGGAGTTTTGGCCACTCGGATTGGTGCATCTTTCTTCTAATTTTGGGCAGCCTTTAATTCTTAGGTACCATAATTTAGTGAGGCGTCGAATGGCATCTCTGGATGGCAAATGCTCTAGTTTTCCGCAGTTACATAAACTCAACTCTTCCAAGGAAACAAGGTTGCCAAGGGAATCCGACAGAGCTTCTAACAATGGACAATCACGGATCTCCACATACCGTAATTTGGGCATGGCATTTGAGAAGTCCAGATGTTGTAGCCGTTTGCACCTCAGTAGATGTAATGTTTCAAGAGAAGTAAGGCTATCAAGTCTATGAGGAAGAGCCTCGATTCCGAAATCACGTATATGGATATGTGTTAGGGAAGAGAGTTGCATAAGCTGATAGGGCAGAGAATCCCAGTGCCCATGTCCGCGCACTGTCAGATTATGAAGGGACAACAGCTGCTGAATGCCATTAAAAATCAATTGGAATGCCTCAAAATCCACCATCTCTGAGAAAGGACCAATTGCCAATGTCCCTAACCCAGTGAGACGGTGAATGCCCCCTGCGGGTACACTAATCAATTTGGGACATTGTGATATTGACAAATAGGAAAGTGAAGGCATTTCCCACACATGTAAAGGCAAGGAAACTAAGTTGTTACACTCAATGATCATCAAAGATCTCAAAGACCAACAATGCTCTATGATTCCGCTTGGTACACTGGCCAATCTATCACAATAACATAACTCAAGACTTTGGAGGGAAGTCAAATAATTCTCTCCACTGGGAACAGGAAAAGAACTGAAATTGGGGCAGAAGTGTATTTGTAAGTTCTTAAGAGAATGGAGATTGTACAAGCTTTGTGGCAATTCACGAAAGTCTATGCAGCCTGAGACCATTAGGTTTTGAAGAGAAATGTTATTGTGTAGCATCTCATCAGGAAAACAAGTGAGCTCTTTCACAGCATAGACACTAAGCTCTACGAGAGATGTCAAGTTGCTGCACAAATTCAACAATGGCATTTCACTGTCAACACTATCAATACTTAATTCATGGAGGATTTCAAATTGACTTGGAGCTAATGCTCAACTTCTCAAGCTCAGGAAACAATCTTACCCCAATTTCATCTCCCTTCCACTCAATAAGACTAGACATATCCTCCAATATTAGTTCTTTAAGTGACGGGAACACTTGGATATTGCTGCTTGATCCATTATTGTTACCATCAATACCATAAAATCTAGGTCCGATGCTTTCCACCTCGTGGAATCCTAACAGCTCAAGATGCCGAAGCAATTTCAGTTGGCCAAGTGATGGAATTTCTTTGCATCTTTTGCAACCACTTAATTTCAACCTGACCAAATTTGGTAGCAAATTTTCACGGAACCATGAAGGAAATTTAGTCCCTAAATAGTCCACTACTGCTAAGGTTTTCAAGTTAGGATGAGGTTGAAGACCATCCAAGACATACTCATCATTGGTCTCACTTCCTTCTGGTTCGTCATGGAACCAAACATATGCCAGCTTGTAGATATTCGATTTCTCTTGTAAATATGCTGTTCGAGCTTCTTCTCTATCACCGATCAATTCTAGACCATTAATGGTCAATTCACCTCTTAGGTTTTTCAAATGACCTAATTCTTCTATTTGACGACCTTTCTCTAAACCTACCTTGAAAAACTGGAGGGTTTGAAGACAGGTCAATTGTCGCATCTTAGGTGGCATCTGAAAATATTTTTTATCAATAGACTGAAAACTGCAATAAATGTGCCTCAAACTTATCATATTTCCCATCTCATATGGAAGTTCCTTGAGTGAATCACAGTAATTGATTCTAAATGTTTGCAAATTATAGAGCTCGCAAATAGAATTGGGCAAGGTTGTGATCTTAGTATTCGAGAGATCAAGATACCTCAAGTATATTAGCTTCCCGATTTTGGCTGACAACTCCTTGATTCCTGAACTAGACAAATTTAAAACTTTCAAGAACTTAAAGCTCAACAACATATCTTCCGATATATAATTGCTTCTCCAAAACAGTGTGCACAAACGTTCTGGCTCATTTATCTTATCTATTTTATCCCTTGGTGACTCACATCCAAAGTATCGAACTTGAGAAAGTTTTTCTCCATCATCTCCCTTCGAATCAAATACTTTAGATTTAAAGATATCTCCAGCCAAATCATGTACAAGATCGTGCATCTTACAGTGTGTTATATTGTTATGCTCATCTAACACAACATCTTGCAACAAGGAATTTTGCAACAAGATTTGAAAAAACCTGTGCCCAACGTCTTCCATCACAGCGGTCTCTTGACATAGACGGAGAAAGCCTTCTGCCATCCAGAGTTGGATAAGTTGTTCCTTTTCAAACTCAAAATCTTTTGGAAATAATGCAAAGTAAGCAAAGCATTTTTTCAGTTGTGGAGATGGTAGATAAACATAGCTGAGTTTTAGGATTTTCTTTATGCTATTTTCTCCATTATCATGATCTTCACCTGCAACAAGGGGGTTGCCATCAAGAATTGCTTGCCATTCATGTGTTTCCTTACTGTGTAAGAGGCCTCCCAACACACTTGCAGCCAACGGTAGACCTTGACACATTTTAACAATCTTGTTGCCCATGCTCGCCAATTCTTCTGGAACCCTGCCATCAACAAATGCTTTTTGTTTGAAAATAGACCAACAATGATCTTCTGTTAACTTTCCCAACATATGAAGATCTGCTGCTACTGTGGATGCCACTCTCTTCATACGAGTAGTCACAAGAATGCAGTTTCCTCTGGATGTATTTATTCCTCTCAGGGTGTTGACAAATTCATGCCACAATGTAGAGTCAACACGCCACAAATCATCCAGCACTAGCAAATAGTTTTTTCCTCCCAATTCATCTTGTAACTTCTTGACTATTATATCTCTCCTTTGAACCTCAACTTTCCTCTCTGTCAATGATTCAAGGATTTGTTCAAGAAAGCTCTTTGTTTCAGACATTTCAGGTAGACACAACCAAATTCTCTTTTCAAAGATTTGCTTGATGTGTTCATCATTGTAAATCCTCTTAGCCACAGTTGTTTTCCCTAAACCCCCCATACCCACTATGGGAATGGTGGACAGAACAATATCCTCCTCTCTCATCTTCAAAATCTTCTCCTTTATCTCAGCAACATCCAAATCTCTACCAACAACATCAGAAGCAACTACTAAGGAATCTGTTTCTCGAATTGGCAGTATTTTCCGAGAAGGAACCATGAGTGATTGTAGACCGAGGTCTTTGGCTACCTTATTGATAGCCGTCAACTCTTTATTGATGTTGTTGATTTTTTGAGACATTTTTCTCTTAAAAGCAGTATGAGAAAAGAAACCACTGACCTTTTTCATTGGGCAGTTCATCACTTTTGTTTTGAGAGATTCATATCTGAATCGATCAAACACATTTTGAGCATCTTCAGCAACTCTCTCAAGCCTGTTGAGCCATTGTTCGACAGACTGTTGTTTCTCAACTTGTGGTGTTTCAACATCATGAAGGAAAGCTTGGATTAAGGATACATTTTGTGTGAACATTTCGAGATCTTTGTTGAAATCCCTTGAGCTGTTGAGTTCCTCAATAGTGAGAGAAATCAACCTTTCAAGCAAAACTTGAACAGTAGCACCAATTACAGGATCGGCCATAGTTGTGTTTGCTTCCTCTTCCTCTGCAGTCTGCACCAAAGTCTTCTACCTGTGCTGTTTGCACCAAAGTCTTCTCAAAGTAAGCCTTCTTTTGGTAGTTGTTTGCAGAGCACTAAAAGGAAGAATATAATTTATATACAATCATTCAAACAGTAATAAAAAAAATACACGTGGATGAAGACCAAGTTTGAGTCCCTTTTTCCTTGTATATTCATTTATATAAGTAGTTTTTTGTTTTATTTGTACAAGTAGTTTTATTCGTACAGGTAGTTTTATTTTACATTTTATTTGTACAAGTATTTTTATTTTATTTTATTTGTATGAGTAGGTTTTTAAGTTTATATATGAAAAAAAATAAAAATAAGGCCCTAAATAAGTAGTACAATTATCTATTCTCTTCCACTTGCTGTAAATTACTCTATGTGTTATGCAAATGTGGCTTTAATTAAAAATATTGAAAAGGGACAAATATATTCCTAAACTATCGTCAATGATATCTAAATATCATTCGTTATACTTTTAAGACACTAGTGTCCTTACCGTCTAGGTTTTGGGATGTATATATTCTTTAAACTAACGGGGAAACATGTGTCTCAATCTTAAAATCTATCCAAAATTTAATTAATTTCTACCCATAACTAAAAGACCCACCCAAATAACTTTAAGACACACATCCAATTTCTAACCTAAAATCCCCCAAAATACTTCATACACAAAAGACTTCAATTTCAAACATTTCCAAAACACAAGTTTCTTTTTCCCAATAGAAACATGAGGTGTCGATCAGTACCAAAAGAAACTGACCATTATGTTTACAGGAGAAGAGGTGTTTTCACGTCAGCTCCATCCATGGGCACAATTACAAATACTTGTCAAAGAAGTAATTTGACTTGAAAGACTCTTCTTTCACAATAAAGCAAACCCATTTCACCATTTGTCCAACACAATTAGAAAAGGGTAGAGAAGAGATTTTTTAGCTTTCAAGTTCGCAACTTTATCAATGAAAAAGATTAACCCTCAATAATGATTACGACAAAAAAACAACCTTATTGCAAGTAAAGTAAAGCAAAAAATTGAGGGAAAAAAGAAAAAAGTTAATAAGTATCAAATTTCAAGATTTTGTGATGACAGGATCAGAATCCGCACCGGAGTTGAGCTTTGGTGAAGAAGAATTAGTGTTCTTGATAGAGCAAGATGACCTTAAGCTTCAATGTGAGACTGACATTTCAAATAGTCCTTATTTTATTTTTTATTTTTTTTGGGGGAGGTTTGGGTTTGGGTTGTAAATGGGTGCAATCGTGTCTCTCCGTTAGTCCAAAGAGTATATACACACTAAAATTTAGACGTTGAGGGCATTAGTATCCTAAAAGTATAACGAAAGTGTATTTAAATAAGAAAACTTTCAAAAATAGCAAACATTAAGCCTTAAATAGGACTCTATAGCTATATTTTGCTTAATTACGAATAATAACAAAATATTAGGAGAGTGAGATCTAGGAAAGAGAGAGAGGAGAGAGTGTATTATTGCAAATTTTTGAGGAAAAAAAAAACAAATATGAACCGATTTGTATCGAAATAAATACATATTAAGAGGAGATAAGGATCGAGAGAGGGAGGAGAGAGATTGTATTTTGTATTTATTTTGCATTGTATTATGTATTTATTTTGTATCTATTGTATTCGAAATACAACGGTCTATCTTTGGTTAGACTTTAGAGCCATTGCATAACCTATCTTTACAATAAAATGTACATACTGTTCAACTCGGAATGGTAAGTACTCCTGTTTCCAGTAGTTATAAATGCTTTTAATAGTAAGCTCACCAAAGTTGATTTGAAGTTGTGTTTCAGTACCAAATGGTACACAGCGCATGAATTTGCAACAAACAATTGATATATCAAAAGAGGACATTGCATGCCTTGTCGATTAGGAACACAAGCTCTAGATTTGAACCATCATAGTACTTGCACTTAAAATAATGCAAATGCCAAGATAAATTTCAAAAGGGAAAAAACAGAGCTAGATGAGAGAAGCTATATATCAACTAGGCAATGATAAATTACATATATACTAGACACTAGCTTCAAAGCCACTCGAATGTAACTTTCATATATGATTGGTGTCTCTTTCAGGACCTAAGAACAGGGGATCCTTTTTTTAATACATGATCCTTGGGAGTCATTTGTACAAAATATTAAATATCAAATTTTCAGTTACTCTATTCTTTTGTACATTCGTCTTTGGTGACATCTATGATACTCCTTTTACTCTTTTCTTCCCTCAATCTAACTGAGATGTGAGGCAATCACTTATTGTATCCATCAAGTCTCTGTGCAATATATCCCAATAATAATAAAAGGCACCACTCCATCGGTGAGAATTTGAGGAAACAAATCTTGAAGATTTATTGATATCCACAAACAGGAAAGACTGTATCCAGAATTCAACCACATGCCAAACAAGAAATACCAGCAAATAATCAATTTAAGTTATTGAACTCTAAAACTTGCATATAAGAACACAAATTGCTTATAATTAATATTGAGAAAAGCCTAGTTGTCTTTTGAAACTTTAAGGGTGTGTTTGGTATGAAGGAAAATGTTTTCCTAGAAAATGTTTTCTTGGAAAACAAGTTGATTTTTGACTTATTTTCTCATGTTTGGTTGGTGAGTAGAAAATATTTTCCGAAATTTTTTTTTAGTGTTTGATTTATGAATGAAAAATGTTTTTGAAAAATTTCTTTTATTTTTACTAGAGTAGAAAATAATTGTTGAAATTGAAAATATTTTTTAAAAAACTTAATTTTTTTTTGGGGGGTGGGGGCTGGTAGGGGGTGGGGGGGGGGGTCGAGGGTACGGGTGAAAAATTGAAATTTTGAAGTTAAAAATATTTTTTAAAAACAAACTTAAAATTTTTTTGGGGGGTGGGTGCGGGGTGGGGGAGTGGTAGGGCGTGGGTGGGTGGGTCGAGGGTAGGGGTGAAAAATTGAAATTTTAAAGTTAAAAATATTTTTTTAAAAACAAACTTAAATTATTATTTTTTTGGGGGTGGGGGGCTGGTAGGGGTTGCGTGGGTGGGGGGGCTGGTAGGGGTGGGGGGTTCGAGGGTAGGGGTGGAAAAAATGAAATTTTGAAAGTCGAAAATATTTTTTAAAAACAAACTTAAAATTTTTTTTTTTGGGGGGGGGGGGGGGCTGGTAGGGGTGGGTGGGGGTGGGGGGTCGAGGGTAGGGGTGTAAAAAAATAAAAAATTGAAATTATAAATATCTTTTAAAAACAACTTTTAATATTTTTTGGGGAGGGGTGGTGGTAGGGGGTTGGGGTAGGGGTGAGGGTGGGGTAAAAATATTGAATTTAAAAACAAACTTTAAATTTTTTTTTTTTTTTTGGGGTGGTGATTGGGGGGGCTGGTTTGAGGGTAGGGACCAAATAAATTGATTTTTTCAACAATTTTTTTTTTAATTGGAAGTTGGAAGAGAGTTTTGGAAAATGTTTTCCTTAAGTTTTGAAGGGAAGTCATTTTCCTTAAATTTGAGGAAAATGAGTTGATTTGGAAAACATTTTCCAAAACATTTAACCCAACCAAACATGAGAAAATTGAAAAACATTTTCC